CACACACACACACACACCCTAAAAATCCCCCATCAAAGCCCTTGCTCCCAGGTGGCTTCGATCTCCTCCGGAGCGAGCAGCTCACCAGACAGAAGCGTAGGCGCCACCTTGAAGAGATCAATTAGCTTAGGGTTNNTAGGGTTGAAGGTTTTAGGGTTTGGGGTTTAGGGCTTTAGGATTTGGGGTTGAGGGTTACGGGTTTTGGGTTTAAGGGTTTAAGGTTTTAAGGTTTTAGTTTTAGGACTTAAGGTTTAAGGTTTAAGGTTTAGGGCTTTCCTGATTGGGGGCTCCTTGCTGCAACGGCTCCTGTGGGTTGCTCTTGGAAGACATGGGTCTCATGGCTATGATTACTGAAAGGATTAGGATTGTGGATTCGGGGTAGAACCTCTGGTGGTTGGCCAAGGTTTCGGGGGTTTGGCAGTCAGGGGTGCATCAGAGATGTGCCGAGCTCAAGGTTAGATTAACTCATACCATTCCAATGGGTTCATGAATGCTGTTGATGATATAAACCCTGCATTACCGTAAGGACCCTGAACTATGGGGAGTTATGGAATATCCCTTAACATGGGCAATGCAGGATTTATATCCCCAACCGTATCTTCTTATTTTGCCAAAATGTTCGAGGAGTTTGGCATTGAGAGTATTGATGAACTCTTCGAACGCCTTGCAGGGGTTCTCTGTTATGGGACTTGAGGCTTTTGATGGGTTTTCGGATTCCTACTTCAAGCGTGAAGGAAGCTTCGTGGCTTAGCGTTTGAGAGACCGGGTTGTGGCTCCAGGGGGTTTGGGGTTGAGGGGTTTCGGGTTCAAGGTTTAGGGTTTGGGGTTTAGGGTGTCGGGTTCAGGGTTTAGGGTTTAAGGTTTAGAGTTCATAGCTGAAGACTCAAAAATAGAGTCAATGAAGGCTCCCGGCTCACCCTCCTTGCAGCTTTGAGAAGCCTTGACCAGGGTCGCCGAAGGCGAGTATGCTGCTGCCAGAACCTTGGCATCTGGCTGCGTTTAACAGCAGGGAATCGGGCTTTTCATGCATGTGTGTGAAATAGCTAAACTGCTCGTAACCCTGGCTGCGTATCCCAAGTGCCCCTATCCTGCAGGTAAGATCCTTTCTCAGGCATCGGCCTGTCCGAATGAAACTCAACACTAAAACCTCAAACCCTCAAGCCCAAGCCCCTATCAACCTTATAACACCTTGTAAAAGTTCAATCTTAAACCCTACCCCTAAACGCTAAACCCAAACCCCCATAGACCCTAAACTCTAAACCCTGAACCCTAAACCGAAGCAAACCCTCCCCTCTGACCCCGAGGCCACCACCTCCTCCAGGTGAGCCAACACCACGGCGAGGTCCTCGGCCCGCTTTTCAACGATGTCGCGGAGCTTCCGCAACGAGGCCTCGGCTCGGGGAATCTTCTTCAGGGCTTGGTTAAAGGTTTAATGTTTCTGGGTTCAGGGCTTGGGCTTGGGGTTGAGGGTTTTTGGCTTTCTGGGCTTCTTGGGTTGAGGGGTCAAGGGCTTAGGGCCCTTTCAGTTTTGCGGCCTTGGTTTAAATGAGGGTTTGCGGGAGGAAGTCTCGAAGATTTAGGCTTGAGGGTTTAGAGGCAGCTCCGAGGCTTCTCGTGTTTGGTTCGGTCCGATAGTGGACTACGAAGATTCTACTCAGCAGGAAATGAGGCTCTGAGGCTCTACGGGCTTAGGGATGCATCAAGGGTTTGAGATCAGGGAATTTAGCTTTTCACTGGTGCTTCCGGCCCCAGATTTAGAGCTTGGGGCGGCTGGTGTTTCGGGGGCTCAGAGCTTTTAGGGTTTAGGATTGAACATTGCAACGTTTAGGGTTGGCGGGTTTGGAATTTACGGTTTGGGGCTTCAAGGCTTAACTAGGTTACCGCTGAGTTTTGGGTGAGGGAGTAACAGGAATCCGTTTGGGGAGTAACGGAAACCATATCTGGGGGTCGTAACGGAAACGAGGGCTAGTAGAAACAGGAACCCCGTGTGCGGTCTGTGCGGGACCGGTTTTCGGTCCCCTACTTTGACACCATGAAAGCCTTGTGCTGATGCCTACGTTTCGTGGGAGGCCTTTAGAGTTTGGGGTTGACAAAGATTCACGGTTTGGGATATAGGATGCCAGTGGCAACACACTCCTTGTCTCTCAAGCCACAATTCCCGTTACGGACATCCTGGTCCCGTTTCGGCAAAAACTCGCTGTTTTTCGGCGCAGGGCCGTTTGCAGCAGGAAATGTGGTTTATAGTGTTCGCGCGTTGAGAGGAGTGTGTTTGGAGTCTTTTATTTTCTGGGATTCAACTGGCTCGAATGCGAGCCTGCCAGTTTTTTCAGTGTTTTGAGGCCAGGGTTGCATTTGTGTGTGTGCGTGTGCGTGTTTTGTCTGTGATTTTGGGTGTTGTGTGTTGAGAGTGTTGGGGCATGTGTCAAGGTATTACTTTGAGAGGAAGGACCGCGGGCAGTGCTTTTGGCTCAAGCTTTGCGGCTGCGCCTCAAAGAAATACGGGTAGTTCTCTAAAATAGGGTCCCTTTTTAGGTCCCCAATTAGTACGGCACCCTTATAATAATGACCCCAAGAAGGACCCTAATTTAGAAAACTACCCATACGAACGTCTTCGAACTCTGCGCGGACTTCCTTCGGAAGCTCGCCATAACGCTGCAGCGGAAAGGGTTTAGGGTTTAGGGTTTCGGGTTTAGGGTTTAGGGTTTAGGGTTTAGGGTTTAGGGTTTAGAGCTGCAGCCGAATGCCACCAACAGCGTCAGTGTCCAGACTCATGGCCTTCTCGAAGAGGCCGTCGCACATCTCAGTAAGTACACCTTCGTACTTGCCTTGTCGAAGCAAGGGAAGCGAAGGCGCCAAGTCACAAACGCGACATCTTCCCCAGTTAGTCACTGGGCGAGATCTTTCCTGAGGAGAATCGTATTTGTGCGAAGTTTTTCGGGTTTCAGGGTCCGGGGCTACAAGTTTTGGGCCCCGCAGAGTCTTCAATGTCAGGCCGGCTTGTAAGATCTACTGGAAGCCATACCCCTGTAGCTTGCCACAAAGCCACTGACTTTGTCTTGTTGGCCGGCTTGGTGTAACGCCCCCGAGAAGAAGTAGTCGCTTGAAGAGAGCCTAGTTGGTGATAGTTTTCCTTAGGGTTCCTTAGGTCACTAACCATACCCAAAAGCCTGTTCCGATAATAAAGGCTCCAAAATTGCCCGAACTTGTGGCCCATGAGGGCCCTCCCCCCAGCAGCCCGCAAACCCTGAGTCTTAACCCCGAAACGCCAAGACTCGACTATGACTATAACACGAGCCATACTTTTGTGCAAAGACTTTGGTTTATCACTCGTGTCGGCTGAGGCTTCAGCCTCATCCAGCTGGAACCGTTCGGCGATAGCTACAGCCCGGGTCATGTCAGGGAAGTCATCGATCCTTCCGGATTTTGCGCTTAGGGTTTGGGTTGTATGGTTTTGGGATTTCTAGGGTGTACGCAGGGTTTGTGGTTGAGGGCTCAGGGTTTCGAGTTTCAGGTTCAGGTTGTGGGTCGGTGGGGCTGAGAGGAGGGCCTCTTTTTGCACGTTCACGGGTTCATGGTAGCAAGGTCATAGGTCATGCAGCTCTAGCCAAAACTTCTTAGAGAACCCCCCCCCAGGGTTCCTATTTCAGTTAACTTCTGAACCTTACAGTAAGTATCCAGAGCACCCTGACCTTCAACTTCACTGAAGAACGAACAAATGTCATAATGTAGAAGCCTTAATAGTCAGAATAGGGCTTCAGGGTATGTTATGCTATGACTATAGCAAGGAATCCCGAAATAGTATTGGTACTTATTGAGGCTCCTAGAGTACTCTAAATTTGGGGGTTTGCTATGGTTTGCAGTTTCAAACCCAAGCCAGGAATCCCCCAAGGGGTCTTGAAGAAAGCCCTTATGTTCCTGAATGGCGGCTATTTTGGGCATCTTTGAGGGCCTTTCAACGTCTCCAAACCCTTTGTTTAGGCTAGGTGGCCCCTTTGGACCTCAGTTTGCGTTAACCTCTCTCAGTCGCCACCTGGATTCTCATCCCCCTTCACATCCCCTTTGTTCGGCGGTACCACATTTGTCATCGGCACGTCCAGGACCCGGGCACGGTTTAGGGCTTATAATATAGGGTTTAGAGGGTAGTTGGGGGGTCTAGGAGGATTTGAGCTATGGTTTGGGATGAGATTTCCAGGTTCATGGCAAGCCTGCAATCTTCAATCAGGCTTCAAGCACACCCTAAACCCTAAACCCCTAAACCCCTGACCCCTAAACCCCTAAACCCCTGAACCCTGAACCCCTAAACCCTAAACCCGCAAGCACCAACCTTCAACTCTAAAAGGGAAACCCGCAAACTCTCAACCCAAGTCCCCCTTAGCCCTCAAAAGCCGAAAGCCCAAAACCTCAAGTGCCTTAAACCAGAAACCCAAAGCCCTAAACCCTCAGCCCTAATCCCTAAACCCTAAACCCTAAACCCTAAACCCTAAACCCTAAACCCTAAACCCTCAGCCCTAAGCAACCCCTCCAGAACGACTATGGAAACCCGATACAAGCCCTCAGAAGAACCCCAACCCAAAACATAGGGCTTTCCAAACCCCGCGCCTGCCCTGCACGACCTCACTGTTTAGAGTATAGGGTTTAAGGTTTAGTGTTTAAGGTTTAGGGTTTAAGGTTTAGGGTTTAAGGTTTAGGGTTTAAGGTTTAGGTTTTAAGGTTGAAGGTTTAAGGTTTAGGGTTTAAGGTTTAGGGTTTAGGGTTTAGGGTTTAAGGTTTAGGGTGGGCTCTGTGGACTTGTTGCTTTCAGCGTTTTTGGGTTTAGGCCTCGGGTTTCATCCCACCTTTTGAGGCCTCCGAGTGTTGGGCTTGCCGGTGTGCTTGTCAGTTTAGGGTTTGGGGTTCAGGGTTTAGGGTTTAGGGTTTAGGGTTTAGGGTTTAGGGTTTAGGGTTCAGGGTTTAGGGGTTTGGGTTTAGGGTTTAAGGGTGTCGAGGTTTAGGGGTTGGGGTAGTCAGGCTCGGTTGCCTGCAAGGGCCGAGGAGGAGATCTCTGAGCCCGAGTATGATAGATGTGCTAAAGCCTAAACCCTAAACCCTAAACCCTATGTAAACCCTAAACCTCGTGGTTACTGGATTAAGGGCCCCAGTTCAAGGTTTAGGATCTAGTGGTTTATGGCGTAGGGCTTTGGGCTTCAATAGCATCCTTAAAGGCCTTACCAGCCCTTTTTCTATCGGATCCTTGAGGGAGGGTCCAAGCGGGGAGGGTCCTAGGGATCCTCAGGGAGCTTTAGGGAACCTATAGGGAACCTAAGGGAACCCTAGAATTGGGGATTATTGGGTTATATACCCCTCTTAGAACCCCTCCCTTTCGGATCCCATAACTTTTGGCCCTGAGCCCGGAAACGTACAGTCGCGGAGCCCTTGCAACTTCAATCCGGCTAGTACAGGGACCTGAATAATTGGAGCTGCGCTTTGGGATACAGCAGAGCATAGCCGGAAGTGGAGGCTTGTTCGGACTTAGTTTAGGGTTTAGGGTTCTTCTTGCTCTTCTTGTCCTGCGTGATGGTTTTCGCCGTGAAGCTTTTCTTCAGGCCGTTCGGCATCAGAGACTGTGACGGTCTTTCGGGGAGGGAAAGCTGGCCGCAAGCACATTTTGAAGCTTCGGCGGAGCCGGGGGTACCCGACCAACGGCCTGATCACGTCAGTTATGCTAGTTCCCGCCGTGCTCCAGCACAGCCCGCCCAAGCTTGATGTCACACTTCCAGAAAAAGGAGTTTTGCAATCAAATACATTAGCAAAAGAAACTGCGATCTAAAGTACTCTGGGGCCCGAAAACCGCCAACAGAAACCAGCACATCCCCAAACCCTAGAACCCATGGATCCAAACCCCTAAGCCCTGAACTCGCAACTCAAAACCACCGAAGGCCTAAGCCCTGCACCCTGCACCCTTCACCCTATGACTTAACAACAACTCCAAAACAAACTGCATAACAACCATCATGATGGATGCATGTCCTTCTACAACACGGGTTTGAGGGTTTTACACTAGTTCGGGTCTTGTTCCGGGGACTTACGAATAGGTGATATGGAGGTTATCAGGGCATGTTAGCATAGAGTATTCAAATCGTTATATTTGGGGGGTTTCCTCAAATAGGGAACCCTAATATAGTACCCTAAATAGTAGGATCCTTATTATAAGGACCCTAAAAGAAGGTACCCCTTAATTTCGGAAACTCCCATTTGATCCACCACTCTGAATCCTGAACACCACACCCTAGGCCCTGAATCCACTCGACCCTAGACCCACCCCAGCTCTCTAAACCCCAACCCCCAAAGCCGCCAACCCTGAACCTCTGAACCCTAAACCCCTTATAGAGCTCGCATGATAGAAAATATGTAAAAGCATACCTCTTTCAAGCCTTATCCCAGAAGCCCCGGCCTTTTTGACCAGTGAGATGGCTGTAAAGGACCGGTCGGCGCAAATGCAGAGATGCTGCGCCAGCTTCTGCAGGTCCTTCGGAGCACTTTGGGAGGGCGTTCAGGGTTTGGACCTCATGAACTTAAGGTTTAGGGTGAGGAGGATTTAGGGGTGCGGGTTTAGGGCTTGGGGATTGGTTCAGGGTTTATGTCTTCTCGTTCTGAAAACCTCGCGTGGTGCAGGCTCTCCGCATGACGTACCCTGTTTGCGCACGGTCCAATAGCACTCCTAGATGACGTGGGATCCTTACGGGAAGGGCGTTCAGGCGCTCAGGGAGGTATTTAGCCCAACAATCCCTTATTCGCCCTAGTGCGCTCTAAGGTTCCCTCTATAAGGTTCCCTACCCTCCTCCCTTAGTGCCGATTCCTCAAGCATCCCATAGTGTTACACCCTAAGCCCTAAACCCTAAACCCCTAAACCTCTAAACCTAAACCCTAAACCCTAAACCCTAAACCCCTAAACTCCTAAACCCCTAAACCCCCAAACTCCTAGACCCTACCCTCTAAGGCTCCTAAGGCGGCCTTGGGATGAAAGGTGGGTTTAGGGTTTAGGGTTTAGGGTTTAGGGAACCCTAGACCCTAAACCCTAAACCCTAAACCCTAAACCCTAAACCCTAAACCCTAATGATTCAGCTCAAACAAGCAGAAACTGCAACCCGGAAACCCCGTCGGCCGCCTCAGGGGTTCAGGGTGTAGGGTTCAGGGTTTAGGGTTCGGGGTTTAGGGTTTAGGGCGTTTAGGGTTCGGGGTTTAGGGTTTAGGGCGTTTAGGGTTCAGGGTTTAGGGTTTAGGGCTTAGGGTTCGGGGTTTAGGGTTTAGGGTTTAGGGTTTAGGGTTTAGGGTTCGGGATTTAGGGCTTAGGGTTCGGGGTTTAGGGTTTGGGGTTCAGGGTAGTATCTTGATATCTACGAGGGGTTAGGGCTTCGGGCTTTAGGCCCCAAAGCCTAAACCGGAAAGTGGCAGATTCAAAACAGTAGTATAGGGTTTAGGGATTAGGGTTTAGGGCACCCAAAGGCCCTATAAAACCTACCTTAGTTATGCTTCCATATTTGTGATTTCCTTTTTTAAAGTTCTTCAAAAAGTAGGTTTGTTGGGGTTAAAGTAAACTCTAAATGCACCAAACCTCGCGAAACAAAACAAAGTGTGTATGTGTGCTTTACGTTCCAGTGGCCGACGCCCCGAAGGGTGGCTTGCTGCACCAACGGGCCTTCACAGCTGCAAGAACAGTTGTAGCGGCAAGAAACAAACCACTGCAAAACAAAGCCAAGAACCACACTTAACAGCAAACCTAAACCCTAAACCCTAAACCTGAAACCTAAACCTCAAACCCTAAACCCTAAACCTGAAACCTAAACCCTAAACCTGAAACCTAAACCCTAAACCTGAAACCTAAACCCTAAACCCTAAACCCTGGAAATGCAAATCTCGCGGCTCATGCGTCGCTTCCGTCCTCGTCCTGCTCCGCTTTTCTGCGAACGCGCAGCTCGACCAGCCGGCACCTGCGACGCGCTCGAGTTGGAGGATCAAGGCTTCAAGTTTAGGGTGTAGGATTTAGGGTTTAGGGTTTAGGGTTCAGGGTTTAGGGTTTAGGATTTAGGGTTTAGGGTTTAGGGTTTAGGGTTTAGGGTTTAGGGCTTAGGGTTTAGGGTTTTGCCCTGACTTTAAGGGCTTTTTCAGGGCTTAGGCGTTTTCGGGGTTTGGGCTTTAGGAAGCAGAACAAGCCGGCGAGTGGAGGCTGAAGCGCCCCTGCCCAGAGGGTTCTATTAGGATGTCACAGGGCTTCGAAGGATTAGGGGGCTTCATACCTAGAACACCCTCGAGGTACCTCAGCTGCAAGAGCACTATGTATTTTAAGGAATAGGTACTCGGACGTCCATTTTTAAGTTTAGTCCTGTGAGAAGAAAGATTTTTGGGCTGTCCATGCCGTTCAGCTCACCAGGCGCAAGTGTCAGAGCAGCAGCCAAAGGCAGTGCTCGGCTCCTTCGCGCGGAGTATGCACGGCCTAAGCAGAGTGCAAGGTCCTGCACTTGGAGGCATCCAGCGACGCTCTCTGCTCCTTCTCTTCCACGGGAGTCAGGACCGTGGTGGCCTTGAGAATCGTCTTGGAGCGTAGCTCGCTGCCGGAGGCCTCGCACCGAATGCCTCGCTCGAGTTCCAGAGCTTGCCAGGGAGAGGTCTTTCTGAGGCTCAGCTTCGCTGTTCATCGAGGCGCACATGCGATCGAAGAACTTCTCCACGGGAACTTCTGGGAGACTCTGTCAAGCACCAAAACGCATTTCTTGATTTTTTGTGCTGGTCGCTTGTGTCTGACAGTGCTGCGAGAATCATCACGTTGCAAGACGTCGGGAGCGGTGGGGCTCAGCTTCTACTACGCAGCTTAGCAACAGCAATCAAGCACCATGCTAGGCCTTCTGGGGCTGCACGTCATTGGGTTTCTCAACGCTCAAAAATCTAAAACCCCTACAACCCTTTAAACCGCTAAACCCCACCCAACCTAAAGCCCTTGAAACCTTCCACAAAACCCAAAAACCCTGAAACCCTTAAACCGGTTTTGAAAAAAACAAAGTAAAAAGTTGCATAGTCCTTGAAAGCCACGAAAACCCCAAGGTTTCCACCGCGGAACGCCTCGCAGCCTCGCTCAGGGAATGCTCTTCGACGAACCTGCGACACGTTGCTTCAGGGTTTGGGGTTTGGGGAGATCCCTGTTGACGTGTTTTGGGGATGAGGACGTGAAATGTTTTCGAAGATGCTCCTGGTTGGTTATATAATCTTCTGTGTGAACGCTGCGATGCTGGTAGGACTCAGTTACCAGGTGAAGAAATCTTGTACTAGCTCTTCGTGTCTTGAACTGAAGGTATTGGGTTTGGAGTTTTCAACTAAGGCTTAAGGGTCAGGGTTTGGCATTGGCGTTTCGGTGTCCGCGGAGTCAGACATTCTATCCGATCCTGATTCAGAGAGGCTGAAAACATGAAGCCCTAAACTCCAAACCCTCCAAAAACATAATCAGTGTTTGAGCTCCTCTTCTTCTCACGACCATCTCTACTGACAGTGTTATGTTATTTCTTGCTGTTATTCGCAGCAGCAGCAGCAGCAGCAGCAGCAGCAGCAGCAGCAAGAGGAGGAGGAGGAGGAGGAGGAGGAATAGTAATATTATGACTCTTATCATGAATATTAGTGGCAGTAGTACTCTCATCATGGTCATTATTGTCACGATTACTGGTACCATTGCTTCAATTATCATCACGATTATTACCATTCTGTTTATGATTGCAACCATTATGAGGACGATCATTGTTAAGACTGTGATTCTGGTCATGACAATGACGATGACCATGATTATGACCATGACTAGGATGATGATGATGATGATGATAATGATGATGATGATGCTGATGATGAGTATTACTATGTCGTGAGAATAATCATCACCAACATTGCTAGTGGTGCTTTTACCCTTCGCGTCATTCTTCGTGCCGGTGCTGTTGGTATCTTTACTTCCCAGGGTTTAGGGTTTAGGGTTTAGGGTTTAGGGATGAGGGTTTAGGGTTCAGGGTTTAGGGTTTAGGGTTTAGGGTTTAGGGTTTCAGGAGCGAGGCACAGCCTGGCCTGTCGATCTTCTCATCCCGCTTGAAGTTCGTAGCCTCGGACACTTCAGGGAAAGGGGAGAGCCGGCTTGCTCCTGCACCTAGAACACCAAAACCCTACTCCCTAAAAACCCTAGACCCTAAACCCTAAACATCTAAACCCTAAACCCTAAAACATAAACCCTAAACCCTAAGAACCTAAACCCTAA